AAAGTGCTGTGCCTGCCACGAAATCTGCACATGGAGGTTCACAAAGTACTGTGCCTGCCACGAAATCTGCACATGAAGGTTCACAAAGTGCTGTGCCTGCCACGAAATCTGCACATGGAGGCTCACAAAGTACTGTGCCTGCCACGAAATCTGCACATGGAGGTTCACAAAGTGCTGTGCCTGCCACGAAATCTGCACATGGAGGTTCACAAAGTGCTGTGCCTGCCACGAAATCTGCACATGGAGGTTCACAAAGTGCTGCGCCTGCCACGAAATCTGCACTTCAAGAGACAAGTGAAAACCTAATCACAATGGACGGCCGACCGAGCATGACCCGAGACCGTCTCGCAAAAGTGCTGTGCCCGCCAGGAAATCTGCACATGGAGGTTCACAAAGTGCTGTGCCTGCCATGAAATCTGCCCATGGAGGTTCACAAAGTGCTGCGCCTGCCGCGAACTCTGCACATGGAGGTTCACAAAGTGCTGTGCCTGCCACGAAATCTGCACATGGAGGTTCACAAAGTGATGTGCCTGCCACGAGATCTGCACTTGGAGGTTCACAAAGTGATGTGCCTGCCAGGAACTCTGCACATGAAGGTTCACAAAGTGCTGCGCCTGCCACGACATCTGCACATGGAGGTTCACAAAGTGCTGTGCCTGCCACAAAATCGGCACCTCGAGGTTCACAAAGTGCTGCACCTGCCACCAATTCTGCACCTCGAGGTTCACAAAGTGCTGCGCCTGAAACGAAATCTGCACATGGAGGTTCACAAGTGCTGCGCCTGCTACAAAACCTGCACCTCGATGTTCACAAGTGCTGCGCCTGCCACGAATTCTGCGCATGAAGGTTCAAAGTGCTGCGCCTGCCACGTAAACTGGAGCTAGAGCTTTTGAAACTGGAGCTAACCGGAGCTAGAGCTATTGAAACTAGAGCTAACTGGAGGTAGAGCTATTGAAACTAGAGCTAACTGGAGCTAGCTATTGAAACTAGAGCTAACTGGAGCTAGAGCTCTTGAAACTAGAGCTACCTGGAGCTAGAGCTCTTGAAACTAGAGCTGACTGGAGCTAGAGCTCTTGGCTAACTGGAGCTAGAGCTCTTGAAACTAGAGCTAACTGGATGATGAGTGGTGTATGATGAGTGGTGTCTGATGCGTCGTGTATGATGAGTGGTGCATGATGAGTGGTGTATGATGAGTGGTGTATGATCAGCGGTGTATGATGAGTGGTTTTTGATGAGTGGTGTATGAGGATTGGTGTATGATAAGTGGTGTATGATGAATGGTGTATGATGAGTGGTGTATTGAGCAGCTGTTGAATGTCCGTAACACGGAAGTTTTGCACACTAAACTTCCTTTGACAATAGGAAAACCAATAACGTATTTTTTGGGACGGTAAGTTGTAGAGGGGCGTTTTATACCCACATGGCACAACCAATCCTGTCAGCAGTGAATGGTATGGACATTCTAGTGGTAGTTTGAAACGACTAGAATGTCCCAAGCAACGTGGACCTAGAAAACGTGGATTGCAGGGATGGGTTTAGAGGTACTGTAATTGAGGGGGGGTCGTTGGAAAAAACAAACTGATCAATGAGTTAATCACTCGTATGCTGGCTGATTCATTGTACTTTTGCTGGAAAAATGCCTGGGTCAAGACCGAAAAAAACCGTGGCTGGATAACCGCAAAATGAACCACTTCCAGGAGATGTCAACGAAGTGGCTCTACAAGGGTGAGGTGGCTGAGGCATGTTGAGGTCTTAAGTTTCAGGCACATCCACTCAATGAAATTGACTTTTAAAGAAACAGTCAAATAGTTTTCACCGCTGATGCCACTCGGATTGGCTGCAAAGGTCATGACTGGATTGCGGTCGCTTTTGCCACGTGGCTGAGGTGGTGCCTCCGTTTCTTCGAGACAAAGGTGTAATAGCAGCTGCTCCTACGTCCAACGGCTGGTGGGGGGGCCCCGGTCTGGCGAGATGCAGTGGTGTGTGTGTGTGTGTGGAAGCGAGTACTGTTTTAAGAGTAGATGATCAGTAGATGTCAAGAGGTGTTCAATTTGAATTGTATTGTGATATTGGATTAGGGGACCCTCCAACCAATGTTTGTTTTGTCTATGTTAGCTCTTCACATGCACGGTTGTCTCCATGGATGTGCCTATTTAGATGAAATTGAGGGAACCAGGCAGCAGATGCAACCTCGGAATGGAGGAAATACTGTAGCTGTGCGAAGTAGGCACCTTCTTTCCGAGTGATGGAATAAAGGGGGCACCCTCATAGGCTCCACCTTTTTCTTTCGGAAGGTAACGGGTTCCATCCAATCCTGCTCAAGACGCAGTTAGAGCATGTTGAGCCCCACGGTAAAGCTCTTCAAATCATGCCAGAGAAGTGTGATGCATAGTATGCCGAGGTACCTTTGGGGCAGATGGCAGGGATTGATGATTGCCCAAAGAAAAGACCTTGTTTTAACGATCGAGATGTTAAACTTGAGAAATATATACTGTAATTATATAATGTGCGTCAAGCGCCAACTATCACGTTTCGGGAGATTTTCTTTGGGTTGAATGATCGTGTGATCAGGCCCCACAGGAAGTTCAATTTCTCACACCAAACCTTGCAATTCTTTGGGTCAACAAACTCCATGTAGGCATCAATTGCTGGCTCGCAGCACTCCAGTCGTTCTGTTGAACGAAGTAAATGACGGACAGGCACGAGGTTGTTGTTTTGTTCATGCCTAGACCCGCGTTACACAATCATTTCTGCCCAAGAAGAAGTTCTATGGACATTCATGCTCTCTTTATCCTCTCTTTACTGCCTGATATAGGCTGAACAGGGACCGCCAATACAGGACACCTTGCAGCGCTCAGGACACCTTGCGGCGCGTGCAGCCGCGGCCACGAGTGGCTGGCCCGGCCGGGGTCCCCGCTTGTCGAGTCGTTCGCAGCGTAGCTTTGTCATGGTAGACGGTAAGGCGGTAAGGCTGGTAAGGCTAAGGGATTTTACATGATTTTACATGTTGTTTCAGGACTTCAATCATGTTCATGTGCAGTTTGCTTCTACTTTTGCGTTTTGTTGGAGCTGATTAAACCAAAGTGGCTTCGTTCCTCCGCACGGGCACATAGACCCCGCATGTCACTCACCAGTGGATTTGACCCTGACACGCCGCGTCTTTCGCAGAAAGGAGAGAGATAGTCAGGATGATAGATTGAAGTACGTCTCATAATTTCTGCGTTCACAGAAGTTCACCATTCATCGTTCCAAAGAACATCAAAGAACCCTGAAGGCTGACGTTTCAGACATGTACAACTTGGTTCCCTTCTTTCCATCTACCCAAGGCCCAGAGGGTTGAGAGTTCCGACCAATGCCCAGCAGCTCTGCTCTCCGGAAGACCTCCAAGGTCCGAAAATTGGACTGGGACATGTTCACGGCGCGGGGGGTTCTTCGGGAGTTCGAGAAGTCAGGGGCGAAGTTGGAGGAAGGGTGTCGTTCGGTGGATTGCGGTTTGGCAACATGTTTGGTGGATTGGGCGTACCTCTCAAAAATGAAATTAAGGGTTTATGTGCGAAAATTCGTCTTGCAATTGTGAAATTGAAATGATGCACTATTTGCGAAACAGACATTTCCTGCTTTGCACCAAGAGCCTGCATTGCACCAAGATAGATCATCTAATGTTTGCAATCAAGGAAGCCGCCAGCTTTTTCACCTTTGGTCTTGACGTGGCTGCACGACTGCGTGAACTGAGGTCGGAATGGTGCACAGCCACAGGATCGCCAGCGCAACAGTCTTTTTTTCAATTGCAACAAAAATGAGGCTGCCAATGGCACAGACCCCCTGAAAATTGTTTTCCACTTGCCAAAATGGATCCAGGGCGGGTCATGCTTTTTGATGAGGCAGTGGCAAAGACCCAATGGCCAAAATTTGACCCACCGGACAAGGCGCATCCTGCCGGCAGTCTTTTGATGTGGCTGCCAGTGGCAAAGGGCTTGCATGGGGCCTGCTTTTGGCGGAAACACTGTGATACAGCGTGGTATGTACTTGGGGGATCCCGACGGCAGGACTGACACAAAATTGATCCAGGCGGGTCTTTGAATGGAGGGCACCCCGACAGTCTTTTGATGAGGCTGCCAGTGGCAAAGACCCTCGTGCACATGGCTTTTCAAGTAAATGACCCGGGAGTCTTTGCGTGGAGGCGGCGGCAGTCTTCTGATAAGGCTGGTCCTGCCGGCAGTCTTTCGATGAGGCTACCAGGAAGGACCTCCCTGAATGTTGCTTTCCAATGACGCAAAGTTGATCCAGGCGGGTCTTCAAGACCCCCCTGCAAATGGTTTTGGAGTTGCAAAAAATTGATCCAGCGGCGGTCTTTGGAGTGAAGCTGCCAGTTGCAAAAACAACATTGAAAGTTGCTTTCCAATGGCCAAAGATCCCGACTGCAGTCGTTTTATGAGGCTGCAGTGGCGACCCTTACAACTGGCTTTCCAGTGCCTCAAATCGACCCGGGGTCTTTGAACCGGCGGCAAGCTGTTCTAATGGTAGAACAACGGCAGTCTTTTGATAAGGCTGCCAGTGTTTGGAATTGGCTTTCCAATGGCAAAATTGATCCAGGGGTCCAGGGGTCAGACTTTGAATGGAGGGCATCCGACGGCGGTCTTTTGATGTGGCTGCCAAGACCCCCCGAAAGTGGTTTTCTGAGGGGTGTTTGATTGGGGAGGGGCGCCGTGAGGAATCTGAATGTGAATCTCAAGCGGCTCTTCGACGACCAGGACGCAATTCTCAATCTATATGGTCCACATCTTCATCTTGATCATGATCCACATCATCCTTGTGATGCAAAGCAGGAGGTGGTCATAGGTGGTCTATGTTTTTTTTCCAGGGTGTTTTTGATGTTGAAAGGCACAAACCAGGGCATCCACCGACAAGTCTCGCAGTCGAACAGGTTTCGCAATTAGTTAAGCAACAAAATCCATCATTAGGTGATTGTTTTTCGCTATACCGGGTGCCCTCGGCGTGGACTATGATGAAAGAATTCAAACATACAGTATGCGATTTGTTGTTTCGATTCCAAATAGTTCTTCCAACAACTGGTTGTGCAAGGTATTCACAAACTTCACAAAGAGCCCCAAAGATCAGTTCTTTGTATCCCTTGTTGCGCGTCAAGTTGTTTTTGACTCCACTTGGGAATTAACTGAAATGTTGTGGGATTGGTCCTTTGCAAGGGTCGGGCCTTTGGATAATTTCGTGTTTCCTCAAGAGCGATGGTTGGTTTCAAAAAACAATAACATTACTCATGAACAAAACATGGTTAGCTCGCCGTGTGCCTTGATGCAGGAACAAAACATGAGCAGACAGACAAAACATGATGCCGCATATGATCGTCACATGATCCGAAATTGGTCAAACAAAATATGTTTTCGACCGTTCAACGGGAAACATCGGACCCTCCACTGTTGTGTGATGGACTAGGTGGAATTGGTTCCGATCGATTTTGGAGGGTCCCGCATCGTTTGGAGGCGAATCAATGCAGAACAATGTGTTATTTTGCTAGATTTTGTTAGTTAATCCATGAACATATTTGAGTCAATTGGTTTTGAAAACCTGGGTTTCCAAAGTGGCGACTCTCTGGGCGCCACGCAAGGGGACTTTGTGAGAACCTACTCACCAGTCCAGACAGTCCAGACTTAGATCTTACTCAGATCCTTTGTTTTGTCACGTGACATCCGTCTCTTCTGCGAGCAGGTCACCCGAACAACCGTTCCTTGGTCGAAGACGACGACGCGCCGTAGGTGTCCGCACAGAAAGACTTTGACTTCGAGGCGACAGGCCGCGGTGGGCGGCGGTGCCGGTTTGGCACACAATTTGGAGAAACATGTCATGAAACATGTCCTTAGCATGTTGGTCTCATGCGACTGTTGTTTTCATAAGTTTTTTATGTCCTGACCTACGGCCTTGTTTGGTTGACTCATAGAGGGGATACCGCCAAGTGTACGACCATTAGATCTATGGTACCAAACTGACTACATCATGATGAGGCCAATGTGCCACATGTTACATTGGGTTGCTTGTAGCAGGGAATGTATCTATTCTGGAGTGGAATGAGGATGAGGTTTGAACATCGTTTTGCATATATCGGTTTGTGGCAATTTGTCCAGCCCGGGTGCTCCAAAAGTAAAATGTGTTGTACATACTAAGAAACCTGAGAAGCCTGTGTTGGGGTGGCTACAGGCAGCTAGCATTGCCGCAACTCACTCTGAAAGCTTTTGGCAGGGCAAGCAAAGTGACATACTTCGCGCGACAGGAGGAGCATTAGCCTATTCTCCCAAGATACCTCTATTCCAAGAGCAAGACGGCGGCTGACCTAAAATGTGTGTCCTTACTGTCGAAGGGAGGGTAATGAACGCCCAATGGTTTGGAAAGACTATAGGGATTAAGTTAAGAACTGTTTTGCCGCAGCGTGCTATAGTATGCAGTCATAGTCCAACGGAGGTGACTTGCCACCCAAGAACCAGTGTTTTCAACGACGAACATGTAAATTTCCCAGACCCAGACTGTTTAGTTCGTGTTCATCAGATGGAAGTTGTGTCCAACCTAGTCCAACAGGTGCGGACCATGGACCTCGGACCCAATCTGAATCGGACCTCGCGGACGACCCCCGGACCCCGGGCAAGAAGAAGGGCACCTCGGTCTGACGGTGACGCCTGGCCTGGCGCGTTGGGCCTGGCCTTTGCCGACTTTTTGTTTGCATGGTTTTGTCCCTTGGTGGCCAAACAGGTTACGAAGTACGAAGCTGGGAATCGGACCATCCATGCATGTGTTGGATTAGTTTCAGTTTCTCATCTCAACCTTGGGTCCACGCCTGAATTCAATATCAGTATTTGAGGAAGGGTGCTCCCGATTCTTTGCTTTTCTGTGCATGGTGCTTAGTAGGAAATGGGCGAATGACCTGCCAATATGCCAATAGGGATTCCGATCCATGTCCTTCTTCCGATCGTTGATCTACCGACCTATAAAAAAGAAATATGTTAAACCACTCCCCATCACTCCCCTATTTAAACATCACCATGTCCGAAACCCCTTTATATATATATATGTATTTTTAATTGCCCTTATTATTGTTTTATTGTTTTGCCGTTGTTCATTATTGTTTTAAGAGGGTCCCTGAAATCAGGGTTGTCCCAAATTGGGAGGATCCTTGAATAATTGATTAACCAAAAAGTCACCGAGATTTGTTTCAAGTAGAATCCTTTATTAAACTCGTATCAAAAATTGAAAAAAATCAAGATGGAAGGGTCTTCCTTTTCCCCTTACAAAAACCTTGATTAAAATAGTGAATCTTAATTAGACCAACAAAAAAAGCTTTCGAAAGGTGAGTCCGTGCCATTGGGGGAAGGAACACCTGCTGGTGTATACGCGGCCTGTCATGGTTGATAGACAGGGTGGACAGAGGTGGGCAGTTAGGATTGTTTTTGGCACCTATATAATAAAAAACTACTAACTACACCAAAATCGACCATGTTGGTAGTTTTTGTTAATAGGGGGGCCGTGCTTTTTTAATAGGTGAAAGGGATTACGATATACTGATATACTCTATATATATATATATACGGACCTATACGGATTGTGTCCATTGAATCACCATATCGGCATCATTCTATCGTGGTCACCTGGTCCAAAAACCTCAGCCACAGCCACCTGAGATTCCTTCAGATCCCCAAACACTCTCCACGACTTCTCGTCGTCGACCGTCCCCCGCGTCCTCCGCCGGAGTGGACGCAGACGATGGAGAGGTCAGAGAGCGATCTTTCCCACGGTGATGCCAGGCCGGGGAGGTCCCGGGAGGTCCGGTCACGGTGGCTTCCACGGTCCTGGAAGACTGAAAGACTGAAAGAACGGTGACACGCAGAGGGGAGGCCATGCAGTTTTTCAAGATTTCATGAAAGGTCACGGTTGGCTAACAAGCAAAAGAACAATAAAGGAACATTCAAAAAAAACACAACAATAAATCCATGCGGATAAAATTTGTCATGTTGTTTTCAACAATCAATATAGTTTGTACAGTAGTCTATACCAGGAGTCACAAAGGGGTGGTGTTTAGGGCACACCTAACCCCTAGCCTCCATTAAGCACCCCTTTGGGACTGCTGGTATACATTATGTCAATCAAACAGCTGGAATCCAAAGAAGTCACTGGTTCCGTTTGGAACCTTGATGAAATTCGGAACAGATCTCTCGTCGAGACGGCCGGCTTGGGCGGTGGATGGCCGGCTTTAATCCCGATTGCTCGAGACTTTGGGTTGAACACATTTCAATCTCCCAAGGAGAAGGTGCATTTATATACAGATATATACAGATACAGATTATTCTTTTGCAATTGGTCAAATGGCACCAGTGAAGGGGAAAAAGACAAAGTTGTTAAAAGACATGCCAATCACGAGGTCAAGAGGCCCTTGGTTTGACTGAAATTGATCTTTTGGCGTCCTTGGTTTCATGGTGCCAATGGACCTCGAGAAAAAGGGTCTCGCAGACACGTGCCAGGGGCCAAGCCATACGCCTATGGCGAGAGAAGGAGGAAGAAAGGGAAAGGCAATGGTACATAAGGCTTCCAGTCACAGCTCGCTAGGTGGTGTTACTCTTGTTTCAGTGGCAGGCCTACCCAAGGTCCAAATCATAGTTGTTATATATACTTTATATAACTAATGTCAAGTTGTTTTGGATCATGAAGGAATTAAAGTTTGGACCCCAGGATGTCGAACATGAGAATTCAACCATTTTGTTCAGGCAGTTATATAAGCTGTTTGGATTTAACATACGAAGTACATCCTCATGTTGACCTGTTTCCATTGGACACAGACTTCAGACCAGCTTAACTGCTTAAGCTTGTGCTTAGGGGCCTCAAGCGCCAAGGCGATGTGTCAGAGAGTGGGATCATGAGGTATGATAAAATATGTAGAACTGGAAGCCTTATTGCTGAGATTCCGGTCTCTCTTCCAGCCAAAGGGGTTGAGATGGTTTGAGCAAGAAGATTTGTTTGTTTTCGACATTTCTGCGTCGCGAAGTCTGTTTCGGTTTGCTTCTTAATGACCCCTTTAGGCCCTTGGAAGTTAAGGTGAATCATGGTGAATCCAACCACACATTGTGAATTCTCATGTAGGAATATCGGAATATCGTTCTTGCAACTTCCATCTCTGCCCACGTGTTTGGGACTTGTTCCCACATCGACGTTAGAGGCATGGAGATTCTCTTTGCACCCTTGTCGCATGTCTCTTTGCACTGATTAGACATCTGGTTGGCAAGGTGAAATCTAGGAGGAAAGAAACAAAACCGCATCCGAAATGGCTTTGAGGGAGGCTGGATCACGACCCCTCGAGTTGCTCCTTTGGAGGCTCCTAAGGAGCCTCGTCGCAGCTTGGGTCCTGCCACTTGGTGTGTTGTCCTTGAAGGAAGGACATATCGATGTGTGCCTCATCGATGATGGGTCCCATTTTGTGCCTCCCTATAGAATCATACAGAATCACAATCGATATTGTTCTTGTTTCTTTTTTGTGCCTCCGCTGTGCCAGATAGAATCAAGGCTTCTCTTTGCTTTGGACCTCGGAGCTGCCACTGGAGCTGCGCTGTCCGGAGAGCCGAAAAAGACGCGATGCGGGGCAAACCGAGGCCGCTCGGCCACTGCGTCGAGACACTTTGGGGTCATAGGGTGCTGGGTCATGGCACCAGGATACCTTGGTTAACCTACCGACGGAACTTGCGCAACGATCCAAAGCGCTTCCCAAAGGCCCTTCATCAGTTGATGGGTACCTGGGAGTATGTGAAATTGCCCACGTGCATAGGTGTTGTACCCACACACCAAATATACAAATTGGCACCTGCACCAAGTTGCCGCCCCATCAAAAGACCCTAACTACGTGAAACCGAATTTCCGCGCGGCACAAGATGGCTTTCAAGATGTATTGCGACAACAAATTAAAGCATCTAATTACGTGGAACGGGCGGAACAAGGTCATCCAGATTGCCACCCCGATTCCACACTTCACGAAGCTTCTTCCTAAAATGATAGCATTGGGAATAATCTAAGTTCTCCATCGGGGGCACAGTAATGCGTACATGGCATAAGTCCATTGGAACTAGACCAAGCGGATGAAACGGTGGTTTAATTCCTAAATTTGTGGCATATTTTTGCAATGTCTTCTGAGTATCATCGGAGTTAATGAACTGTGGTCTGAGAGGGAAGCCGCCAGTATATGTTCGTCCCCATCCGACCTGGACCAAACTACTTGAAGCCGTTTTATGGAACTTCGGGTACAATCTTGTACTGCAAAAACCTTGCAAATATTGAATGATAATGCGAATTGCATCAGCTTGCTCACGAAGCGATCGCAATTTGGTCGGAAGAGCTAATACCTTAGGATCCTGAAAGTGATGAGGACGAGCTCGAGATTTGTCAGGCGGCTTAATCCAACAGGGAAACTGAACACCCGTCTGGAGAATAAATGCAATTGCTAATTCATGCCACGTAATCCCTGATTTAGTGACGTCGTCATATTCTCCTTCAGGATTTGGCCACTTAAGAGACAAGAAAAATCTGAGGACGAGATGAGCATAGTCCTGCCCCCATAGGCAGGCTCGGAAGATATGTGGATGAATATCAGGTTCAGGCAAAATTAAGGGAGTAGTCACCTGATGATTTGCACGGAACTGGTGAAGCGTACCCCAATTTTGACTTGGGTCATCATTGTGAAGGTCTGCTTCCGCACGCTTGGCCTTCTCCTTACACTGCACATGTTCAAGATTAAGATCATGAAGATAACGGAGAACCTGCCTAGTCTGACGAATCTGACACTGATTCCATTTCTCAATTGCATCGAAACATTGCTGATTTTCCTTGCTATCGGTTTTACGGGCCCGAACTGCTGCCGTGTCTGCACAATCATTGCCTTGAATATCGTTGAGCTCAACTTGATTTCTAGCGGATTGCAGTGGTTGGTGAGATTTAACTTTACGCAGGATGAATTGACAGGGTCGCCAACAAGCCCGAATTTCTTGCAGGAGGTCAACATGGGCCAGAATCTGGGGGATAGGTTGATCAAGATTATCTGTGATGTTACGGATTGCATTAATGACATATTGAGAGTCTGTGGTGATCACGATTTGATTGGTGATGGTGTTGGCATGGCATTCCCGTAGAATCCAAGCGACGGCTGCTAGTTCTGCCCTAGAAATTGTCTGATGTCCTCGTACTTGCTGAATAGCCACCGTTCGAAATGGGAGGTGAGGGCAATTTGGGTCAAATTGAATCACAGCCCAAGCCGCACGCTGAAATTCATGCAGAGTGGGGTTATCAGCTGAGCCATCCGTGTAAAGAAAAATAGTCTGCTGGGACGTGCTGATGTGAGATTGGGAACTTTGAGTGCCTCGCTGATGTAATAAGTGACGGAGGTGATGGACCGACTCATGCTGGAGCGGCAAAGGAAAATGAAGCATATATGGATTAGCAGTCAACACAGAGATGGCCAATGGATGATTATCACGAATATGTTGGAACTTGGGGCATTCCAGTTGACGATGTGCATGGGTGTCGAGCTGATGGCAATATGGACAGGTTCCGTCTGTGGTACTGGACCATTGTGCTTTAACCGCTCCTACTTGGTATCCGCCTGTGATATCTTTGGCCACCACTTTGATCTCAGTGGATGAGAGATGATGCAATACTCGATGAAGGAGGACGGCATCAAAGGGTGAGTTTGCGACACCTTTGCGATGTTGGATATTTTGGTGAACTACAAGATCCCATGCTCGATGCAAGAACTTACGTATATCCTTGGGAGTATCATATTTAACTGAGAATATGATATTCCCCGGACATGTGATACAGCCATCTGGTTGAATTTTCCACTGGACTTTCTTAAGATAGCATGCCAGGGCACCTGCGGGGCCTTGTGGTTGGCCTGTATGATCACAGACCGAGGCGAGAAAATCATGTGCTTGCTCGGGATGGTAGACAAAAAGGCGACGAAGGAAGGATAGGGCCGTTGTGATTACATACAAGAACGGATCCTGCAGGGAGGAGTGCAAGTACTGCATGGCCATCCATGACGAAGACTGCTGCTCCGGACCTATTAATGCGGTTGTGGCAGCTCTACGGAGCTATTTGAAATGAGACTCACCAACAAGTTGGGATTCTGCTCCGAAGAATGCGTGTGGCCATATGGCAGTCTGTATCAATTTAGCCTTTTGAACGAGATCTGTAGCAATGTACGTCAGCCTTTTACATCTAGCGGCAGCGCTGGTAAATTTCTCTTTGAGATGTCCTAAAACGATTTGTTTTGTATAGTGGCACATACATCCGAGATCCTTAGCAGAGTTAAGAATGCGAACAAGTTGAGGGTCATCTAGGAGTTCATTTAGTGTAGCTTGCCACTGGTCACGTGCTGCCTTAGTGGTTCCCCACACCCAGGACTTTTTGTAGTCTATCTGTAACCTGAGACTGTCTGCCATTTGTTGGATTTTTTGAAAGGCTTGGTAGTTTTCTCGTTGAGAACAGGTAAGATATGACCAGTTATCTGCGTAGCAAAATGGATGCAAATTAGGGCTGTGAAGAAGCCAATAGAATGCCGACGACAGAACCAACATGCTACAGACTGACATGCTATCTCCTTCTGGGACTCCCGTTGTCATATGGATGGGTTCCCCAATAGCCAGGCGCACTTGTAGTCGTCGAGTCATGCGACGTAAATTGAGAAACCAAAAGTTGATGACTTGCGGTGGGGCCCCATGATAAACGAGCAAATGGTAAATAACACGGCGAGGGAGTAAATTAAAGGCTTTCACTAAATCTAATGTGAAGCCCATCCATGATTGATTCAGCTTTTTGGATTTCTCCAGATGGTATTGTTGCATGAAGGATATGTCTTTCACACCGCGATGGGGGAGACCTCCTGCAAGTGCTGATGGCCACAGTTGTCCCCAATGTCGAAGGAGTTGATCTGCTACAATTTTTGAGGTTAAACGGGACACATATCCCAATATGGTAATAGGGCGTCCATCACCAATACTTTCTGGAGGGGTTCTTTTGGCCAAAAGGACGACCCGAGCGATCATATGATCATGACTAAGACCGTGAGACCACAAGCGAGAAAAGATGGCTGCTAAAGACTTAACTGCACTCGGTGGAAGGAGACGTAACTCTTCAGCCCGCCATCCGTCAATGCCAGGTGCTTTAAAAGGCTTTAGTCTGTTAATCGTCTGTTGTACTACATCAGGTTGATCACATATAATGGGAAGTGGATCCGTGGGTGGGATCCGTCGTGTGAGGTCAGTCACAATGTCCCGCCAGTTAGAGTCGTCGAGTTCTTCACTAGGAGTATCCCGTTGCCAGTATTGACTCCAATATTTACTGAATGGCTCTGTCATGGTATTAGCTCGATAGGCAAATGTATGTTGTCGAAGGAGAGCTTGAGTGGGACAAATTCCTGACACAAGTTTTGCGCATAGTAAGTTTGTTTCCTGGGACAATAACAGCAATTCAGCATCTCCAAAGATCAATTTTCCGTATTGCTGAAAGTACACGGGTGAGTGTATGATTATGTGGACCACCCCCTTTGGACTGCGACGAAGGGTGGCCAAACACTCTAGTGTCACAGG